GAGCCTCTCCAGGGTCCTAAGGAGTAGATTTCCTTCACTCCTATGTCCACTGAAATCTTCTCATAGTTCATTTTGGGCTGTGCTATTGCCTTCTCAGTCCCACCATCAATGTACTCATATCTACTTTTCATCTTATGGGAATTGTTGATATCTTTCATCTTTTTATTATTTTTCCCGTTATGGATTCGAGTTCATCCTGTTTATACTTCTAAATTTTATTTCAGTGGGAAGTTTGGAAGGAAAGGAAATGAGTACACATCCTTAGTCAGACATTTCGAATTAGAAGCAACATTTAAAATTTCAAACTGACTAAATGATTTACTCTCACATTTAAAAGAAAATCTATAGTCAGAGTTGAGAAGTAAATCAAAGCCCAAGGGACAACTGATTTCAAGCTGGTAAAAGTCAACAGAAGACTCAAAAAGCAGTGAGTTGTTCTGACCTTGTAAAAAAGACCCCTCTTGGCCGGGTTCTCAATTCACCGGAGATCTCTCTCCTTGGTTAGTAACTTCGGTTTTAGGTGCCAGTGCTCTCTAAGCTAAAATAAGATGGGTGGAGAAGTCCTCTCCCTTCAGAGCCTCATCTTACTATTGAATCATAGAGCAGCTTCTCTTGTTGACAGGCCTGTCTCCCACCCACATGAGACTGCTGCTTGCTTAGCTGTGTCGAGTGCCATGGTCAATCTACTTCCACGTCTTCTATACCCCTCTCACTTCTGGTTCCTCTCACTTCTGGTTGCACTCCTTCCCACTTTTTTGAGTTCATATAGGTTTACTGTTCTTTTTCTTTCCTTAATTCTTTCCACAATCACTTATTTATAGGTCATATTTTCCCCTCTCTTTATAATTCTGCTCAGATTTCTCTGAAGATGTCCCTGTCAGTGTTATTCTTAGTATGAGGTCCCCATAACTTGGCATAGAATATCAGTCTATTCTGATCATTGACAATTCGAACAGGACTTTCACTTTCTCAACTTAAGCATGTGGTGCTTAAGTTATTTTCTCACAGCCTTAACAAAGATCAAACTTGTTCACCTGAAACCATGGGGTCTTCTTCACACTTCCCACTTGACAAAGAAAACTATTGTCTTTATTAGTTTGCAATCATTAAACAATACATGGCACGTTTCAGGCTGATTTTAAGTATTAGTCTCTGGTTTAATTTATTTTTTCCTTTTAGTATCAAATACAGGAATACTCTCTTTCTCCTACTCTAATGCTTACATCCAGCAGCATAAAGCCATATAAAGTTCAGCTCAGCTGAGGCACTTGGTCTTATTATTTCTGCCTGATGAATGGCTTTAAAAAATAATATAGAGACTCTGAACGATATTCCAAAGTCTAGAATAGTCTTCTGTGACTAATTTCTCAGTAAAGCAAATTACTCTTTTATTCATACATGACTCTCATTTCACATTTGTTTTAGGATTAATACCACATACTACATAAGGTGACATCATCACACATTTGGGAAGGAGGAAACATATTCTGTTGAAGTTGTGACTATCACATCTCTGAAATGAGAAGGAAACACAGCTGTCTTGCATCTTTGGTCCTGCCTCTGGCTTCCAGAATGTGATGTTGTTCAAATGAGACGTTTCTTTTGTTGCAAATTAGCAGCATCCACTTAGCCCCTCTTCCAAACAGCTGGTTGATGCATCCTTACTGATGTCTGTGTAGATAGAAATCTGTGAAGAGAATAAGAGGACAGAAAAGATTCAAACTCAATAAGACAAAGGCTCATTTAACAGTGTTTGAAACTTGTCAAAACAAGAAACTTGTCCAGCCCAACCCCCCCATTCCTCCTAAATCTGAAGGCTCAGTCACCTCAGCTGCTGTCCCACCTGCTCCTGCTCCGGAGCCTGCAGCGTTCCCACTGCTCAGCCATGCTCCTGCTGCTCATCCCAGTGCTGGAGATGGTTTTTGCCCTAAGTTACATTCCGCTCCCTTTCCTACTTTCACAAAAGTAATCATGTTCTAACTGAAATCTAAATAGAGACATCCTTCTTCATGGCTATATCTGCCCTGCTTTTACTTATACAGCACTGATATTTCAGGAGGGACCAGAGCCCAGTCAGTGACCCAGCCTGACATCCACATCACTGTCTCTGAGGGAACCCCTCTGGAGCTGAGGTGCAACTACTCATCTTCTCTTCCATCGTATCTCTTCTGGTACGTGCAACATCCCAACCAAGGACTCCAGCTTCTCCTGAAGTGTGCATCTGGAAACAGCCTGTTTCAGGCATCAAAAGTTTTGAGGCTGAATTTAAGAGTGAAACCTCCTGAAACCTGAGGAAACCCTCAGTCCATTGGAGCGGCTTGGCTGAGTACTTCTGTTCTCTGATGACCCAGAGTGCCTGGGACTGCAGGGGAGCTGAACACAAACCTCCTGAGACACTGGGACTTTCTGTGACTCAAGAACTCAACCTGGGGAGTTTTCAAGAAGGTCTTCTTTTCTGTAAAGGAAAATAGGGCAGGGTGGGCTGAGCCCTGGGGAGAGCTTGTCTCCTGAATAGTTGCTTCAGCATCAATGCTGTGCCACACTCACATGGATAGACTGTACCAGAAGTAGGTCTATCAAACCTGAGAGGTCTTTTGCTCCCGATAATCTGTGGACGGTCCTCAGGAGAGAATGGAATAAGGGCTCTGGGGTTCTGGTGACGGCTGACGAGTAGTTGACCTCGTGGTTTTAGACCACTAGGAGGCTCTCCAGGCTTTACTCTAAATAAGGAGCTTTTTTCTCAAGTTCTGAGATACTTGAGTCTTAGAGAAAATTTGAATGAGGGTTAGCAGTAGTTAGGGGAGCCTCTGAACTGGTCATATATTATAAGAATAGGGGGACTCTCCATATATTCATCTGTGAGAATGGTGTGCTGCTGTGATGGGTGTAACAGAGATGGTTCCCCAAGCAGAAATGAGTAGAACCAGGGATGTGGTAAAGCTGGGAGCTCCAGAAGAAAACATCTACATCACCTATACACAGTTTTGATTTTCACGACTAAAAATTCTGAAATATGAGCCTTCACTCTCACTTCAAAATTATTCCAATGATTTCTATCATGTATTATTCTCCTTCTGAGACAAAAAAAAAACAAAAAGAAAAGAAAAAAAGGAGATGAGAAGATGAAATGGGAGAAAAATAACAAATATGTATAGAGAAAGAGGTGAAAAGAGAGAAAGGGAAAGAGAGATTTGGGAGAAAGAAATAGGACACAGTTACTTGAATTGTGGTCTGTTCTTCATAGCCACAGAGCTGAATCAGCCAGGTGTACCTGCAAGGTCTAGGGGGAAGTATTGGACAGGAGGAGAAGGGAGAAGGAATTGAGCTCAGGTAGTCATTGTACCATGTCCTATTTCTCTTTCCATCAACCATTGTCTTGGAGACATTGTATTTGTTCATGATGACCACAAGGTTGAGGTTTACAGAATTATCCTAATTTCATTTAAATGTATTTACTTTTTTTAAGAGGATTAAATAAATAAACAATGCTCTCAATGAGATATTCTTTCTTCATGAGAGCTTTCTTGTAAATGAATTCTCAATCACTTTTCAAACTATGTGTCCTGACTTTTGGCTGAGGAAATTGAGCCATTGACCCTGATAATTTTTTCAGGCTATATTTGACCCAGATGAGGCCCTTGCTTCTCTCTGAAGTATCCTTTTCCTTTCTCTACTCTCCTCCTGACAGACTGATTACTGGGGCACTTTAAGTGGAGGCAATCCTGTGAGGCTGCAAAGCCGAAATGTTTCTGTGCCTGTGCTCAGCAATGTAGCAGACAGCAGGACACTGATACCAGCAGCAATGTCAGTACCCTGCTGAAAAACTAGAAGGAAATCTCTTTGCTCTCTGATCTCCTTGTACTCTTCTTCATTAAGGACAGGTGGGACTCGCCTACCTGTTACTTACTTCTCAGCAATTAGGGGCTAGAGGTGAGGCTTCCCAAGAGAATTAGCTTCCTTCTTAGAGGTCCAGTGACCTCTGCTGGCCAAGTTCCCTCCATGATCCATAGTTTTCTGCTCTTTATCCTGGAGTTCCCTGCTACCTGACCCCAGATTTAAGTATAAGCCCCCAATGGGATACCTCACTTGAGCTCTCTCAGCATAGCCTATCTGGACATCACGGAAGCTCCTTGGCTGAGCACAGGGAATCAAGGGCATTTTCAATCTACCATGTTTCTAGAGTTGCCTTCTTCCTAGGCCAAATGATTGTTCCTTTTATGGCCTATTAAAAAAAAAAAAAAAAAAAAGCTTGTGAAACTAAAATTTTAAAAGCCTACTTCCTGGTGTGGGGAAGTTCAGAATCAATGATGGTGGATGGAAAATAACTTGACATGGTAATGTTTAAACATTTCAATGACATACCGGTATGAAATTTTAAATTTCTATGAAGTGTGATCTATCAATCTGCTTTCTGCTTTCTGACTGTCATGCTTAGAAAATCTATGACTATCCTAAATTTATTTTTTAAAAAATCTATCTTCTATTTTATTTTAAAACATTAAATATTATTTCATTTGGATTTTATTTTGTGACAGGTATTAGGGTAGGCATCCAAATTTATTTGTTAATTTCTAAATGACTCTCCATTCATGAAGGCACATTTACTGAATATACCATCTTTTCTACATTTTTATTATAATTAAATTCCCATCAGTAATTTCTATGTTTGGACTTTTATTCTGCTCCATTGACCTCTCTAACTGGACCTTTCCAATAGCATGCTTATTCAATTAATGGGGCATTACATTTGCCTTATTAACTATGGAGGAAACCCCTCTACATTCTGTTCCAGAATTTCAAGGCTTCCTGAAGCCTGAGATTATCTACAGTATCAGATTTGGCCTCTAGAGGTAGATATTACACAAACTGAACTTGGTATAAAGCCAGAAAGCAACCAGCCCTTTGAGAAGAGCTTTTGTTTTACTCACTGAGTAAACTCACTCACCACTCTGTCAGAGTGTCCATGTGGTTGAATGTTTCCAGAAAAGAGCCTCCTGTCTCCTCACAGCTCAGACATGAAGCCCATCCTCATCTCAGTGCTTGTGATGATGTTCACACTCAGTGAGTAAAGTCTTTGTTATTCTATCTTTCTATGGTCTTCTGATTTAGAATCAGTTTAAAGAAATATTCTCCTCAGTCTGCAAGTCTCTCCCTGATCCAGACTTGGTGTTACAGGAGGAGCAAGAGCCCAGACAGTGACTCAGCCTGAGGACCGCATCTCTGTCATTGAAGGGGCCCCAGTGCAGGTGAAGTGCAACTACTCTTATTCCGGGAGTCCTGATCTCTTCTGGTACGTCCAGTACCCCAAACAAGGCCTCCAGTTACTCCTGAAACACACCTCAGGAGAGAGCATCAAAGGTTTCACGGCCAACCTTAACAAGAGTGAGAAGTCCTTCCATCTGAAGAAACTATCAGCTCAAGAGGAAGACTCAGCCATGTATTACTGCGCTCTGAGTGACACAGTGACTGGTTTTACAAGGAAAGCAGAGCACAAACCCTTTGGGAGTTACAGAAAATATTTCTTTGTCAGTTCTCTATTTAGCCACCGTGGGGCATTCTTTCTCTAGAGACTGATGCTGAATTTACCTCTTAGACGCAATATCATCAGGTGTCAGTTAGCTATAGATTAACCTCAAAAATTTGCCCAAGAAATTTCTCATTATCTACTCTGCCTAATTGGTTTTAAAAAATAGTAAGTGTATTTATTCTGTCTAGCAGTACCTGGAAAAAATATTTTTGAAATAAAAACTATATAAAGCACAGCATAAAAAAGATTCTTTTCTTGGCCCAGAAAAGAATCTGGTACTCTCCAGATGTAAATGGTATAGCCCCACTTCTCCAACTTCTCTGTCACCCCAACCACCCCACATATGTTCACTACCATATACCTAAGCACAGTTCCTTAAAAGTACTGTACTGTTCCATGATATTTGGTTGCTGATCTTTCTGTATCGAATGCCTTTCCTCTCATGCACTTCATGGACTCCTACTAACTCAATCAGGGTCTAAATCAGGAGAAAAAAAAGCACAGTAATTTGAACAAGGAAAGTTTAATGTAAAGAATTATTAACCAATAATGGAGAATTAATTAGTAATGAGTAAAAAGAACTCTAAAGAACATAGAAATAGCAGATGTAGAGAGAAGCCCTTATCTCTAGGACTAAACCAGAGTTCCAAAGTAAGTAGCACATTGTAATACATACCAACTTCTTCCAGCAGCAGAGATTCTCCTGCTGAATCTATGATTCAGACCTCATTGGGCAGTGTGTGTCTGTGGTCTTCTGGATGGTGGAGAAGTTTGCTGAGGTGCCATAGAAAAAGACTGGCAACCAGGAAAACACGCACCAGGGTTCCAACAAAATTTACAGGAAGCTGACAAGTAGTGGTACTGAACTTTCTTGAGGTGCTCGTGAAGCTTGCCAGGAAACCACCTGTGAGGCTTTCGTTGAAGTTTGCTGGAGGTGAGTGTCACTGGTGTCCCACAGGTTGGCCAAGAACTGCAGGAACAAGAAGTGAGGAAAATATGCCAGAACCAGAAAGAGAAACTTCTTCCTCCTGTAGTGTCCTTCCAGTTCCCTCTACTGACAAAGCTGAATATCATGCTGAATCACAAATAGGGCAATGAAGGGGGGATTTAAGTTGAAAGGCAATAAACTGATAAGTGGCATCTCCCATCCTTCTGGTCATTGGTCTTTCATATGTACGCCTTCAATAGATAATTCCATTGACTTGTGCCCACTGCTGTAACTTTTTGCTGTAAAAATAGTCCCTTCATCAGAACGAATGCTAAGGGGAATAGCTCGATGAGATTAGGCATTTGAACATTTGAACTTCCAAACAACAATGAAATGACTCTGTTTCCATCTAACAAGCTAAAACTGTCCTTTGAACAAGTGAAGAAGTTCTCATCCTTTCCGTATAATGAGATTCCTAACTACTATAGTCCCTACAGTCACTATAAATTTCTGGATATATCAATCACTTCTAAAATACAGAAGAAATTTCACTGTTTATGTTGTTATATACAGACTAAATTTTAAAGGGAATCTCCAATAATTTTTATGTAAAATAATTGTGGTGAGAGAGAAGAAAATGGCAACATATACAAAGGAACACACACATATAAAGAGAATATGGAATGCTACAACATTCCTTGATTCCAGATTTGTTCATGAGGCTACAATTGACATAGTTTCTTTCTTGTATTACACGTTTTATATTTCGCCCGCCATCAGCCATAAACTCAGTGGATTGGATTATTTACCTTGTGGAGTGACCCAAATCTTCATTCTCAAAGGGTCTGAGTACTCATAATCTTGGCTTTTTATTTGTTCTGTAATTTTCCATTAACCTTTTCTTTTGGGCATGAAAGTGCCAAGAGGTCCCCCCAGAAAACACCTGGATTCCAAACAAAGCCCTCTTTATAATCTGTTATGTAGCAGCAACCCAGTTGCTCCTCGTTGATTGGCCTCAATCACTTCAGTCAGTAGAGTAACCTCTTTTTCTATTCATTGGTTCAGTGACATATGTAACCCAAAATGGCCACATGGCAGTCTCATTTTCTGATTCAATGGAACCCTTGTTGTGTCCCTTGGTGGGAGCATTTTCTCTTTAGAGAATAAGATCGCCAAACCAAGACAGCTCAAAGTTTCAATGACTGGAAGCACAAATCCTACTAGTGAGTTATTGGTAATAATAGTGAGGGGATCCACTCCCAAGGCCACTTCCTTGATGCCTGGACCCATTCATTCTGGCTATGAGCAAGACAACACCACATAATGGTCTCTGACATAAAACATATACCACATCTTGTAAGACAGAACCCCCTCTTTTCAGGGAGTTGTCTTCCAGATGGTGCTATAACTGAATCAATAAGCCATTCTTTATTTAAACAGGCCAGCCACTTTTGGGTGATGAGATAAGTGGTAAGACTAGATAATTCCATGGGCTTGTGCCCACTGCTGTAATTCTTTGCTGTAAAATTATTTCCTTCATCAGAAGAAATGCTAAGGGGAATGCCTTGGTGAAATTAGGCATTCTGTGAGTTCATGAAGATGATGCTGGGAAAGACAAATCTACAAGTAAGTATAAGTGTCAATTCCAGTGAGAACAAATCTCAGCCGTCTCAATCATGGAAGATGTCTGTTACAATCAACCTTGTCACTATGCATTTGGGAAGTCCCTCTGGGAAATGACACCACATTAAGGGTTCAGCATTAGTCTCTGTGGTTGACAGATTAGGAACACAGCAGTAGCAGTAGCTGGGTCAAACTTGATAAAGGGAAATCAATTCTTTTGAGCTCATGCATAACTTCTATTCCTGCTTACAAGGCCACTTTGCTTACGGGATCATTAAGCCAGCATTGGAGTGGCTGGAGAAAGATGCTGACACATCCGTACAGTGTATTATTCTGTTCATTATTAAGAGCTTCCACTGCAGCGGTTTTCCCTTGGTCAGTATTCATACACAGTGTAACTATCTTGTATCTTCCATCCAGATACCTCTTCCCTAGATTTCCTTGTCACTAGTCTTCCAATCCTGTTCCTTGGAAGGAAGAGGATCCTCTTACCATCCAGCAAAACCATTAGCAACTGCCCATGAATGAATGTAGGTAAGTACTTTTGGCTGCCTCTCATTCTAGATAAAAGCGACAAACAAAATGAACCACTTGGTGTTTTGGGATGATTTTCCTTCATCATTGTCCTTCAGAGGGGCTACAGTAGTGCTAGTTTTTTGTGCTACCAATATAATGTGCAAATTCATTTGAGAAGTAGGCTTGATTGTTTTCTTCATCAGTTCACTGATTGCAAGGAATTCCTCAGGAAGCTATAGGCATGGATTAAGGGAGAGTAGACATTACAAGAAAAGTGAATGTTAAAGGAATCTGAGGCACTTTCTTATGTAACTTACCTGTACTTTCTGGTCCACCTGAGCCCAATCTCTTATGTACCATTTCCCCTCATGATAGATTTCTTCTAGGCATGACCAACATTGTGGGTGAGTAGGTCAGACAACACTTGGTTCATGATCAAAGTTCAGGCTGCATAGTCACCTGTTTTTCCTAAGTTAGATATTCAGACTTTACCACGGTCAATTAACAAGTTAGAAGCTGTTTTTCAAAAGGGGCATAGTATTTTGAAGAAAAGGGCATATATTCCCCCCAAATACTAGAGAACTAAGCTGTGATTCTCCTACTGGTGTTTTCCAAAGTCTCCATCCTATTTGCCTTGGAAACTTCAAGCATCATAGTTGGATCTGCTGGATCATAAGACCAAAGTGGTAAATCACATCGCACTGAAGCCTGAGCCTGCTCTGCAGCTTCCTCTTGCTCTGGTCCCCACTCAAACCCGGCGACTTCACAGGTGACTCTGTAAATAGGTCAAAGCAGCACACCCACGTGTGGTATATGTTGCCTCCCAAATTCAAAAAAGCCTACCAAGTATTGTGCCTCTTTTTTGGTGGTGGTGGTGTGAGGTGCATCCTCATATCTTTCACCTTAGAGGGGATATCTCAGCATTTTCTGGACCATTGAACCCTTAGAAACTTCACTGAGGAGACAAGTCCTCAAATTGTTGTGGTGTTTATCATTCCACCTACTGACTGTTCAATTTCCAGAGCACATGGCTCCTTACATTTTAAGCATCTCATGACCTCTGTAGCTACACCCTCACCCTCTCTTTCTGACAGCTGCACTATGGATTTATTTTCACTCTGGCTTCTATCACAGTGCACTAAAACTTTATCTTGCCCCCGCGCCTTCTATCGGGTTAAAGGCTCCAGAGAAGAGCTGTTGTGTTTTCTCTGGTTTTTATCTAACCTGCTAATACAATTTTTAGGACACCATATGTACTCAGTAAAGGAATGTTAAATAAATTATACAAGAATAAATTCAAAAAGTAACAATTCTCTTCCTTGAGATAACCATCAGACATAATGTATCACAGATGTGCTTTATATGTACTTCTTATTTCATCACACAGAATATTAAAAAGATGTACACACAAGGGTCAAGAGTTAATAACTTTTGGTTTTTTTACTTCTTCATTAAGGACATTTCTAAGTAAACTTTTCTTTTCAAGTATATGGTGGTGATGAAAACATACAATGATTACTGGAACATTTTGGTGTCGTTGATTTTACTTGTTCATATGTCAGCAATTTAATTTGCACCACTAATGTAAATGCAAACAAAGTGAAAAACTTAAATACTATCTCATTATTATTGTTAAAAACAGTTTTTACCTTGCAGACTACCTGAAAGACTCTTGGGATCAGCCAGTGATCCACAGACACACCTTTTGAGAAGTTCTGTTTAGCATGTACTGTTTCAGTGGCAATTAACCTGATTTTCTCTCTGGTAGGTAATTTTCTTTTTCCTGGTCTAACTAGAAGTTTATCATTTATTTGGGATGAAAAAATTTGAGTATTAAACTGAAAGGGCTGGCCAAATGTCTCGGAGGATTGGAGGTGGGGGACCGCGCCAATACATAGCTATGCCCTGTTAACACCTATGAATCCTATATATAAAAAGAATAATTCTCAAAATTTCAGATACAAGGGAAAAAATGCTACCTCTCCAGATTGTATTTCTTCAAAAGTTAT